CCGGGGCAGGGGGAAGCGGCTGTGAGTAGGGAGCAGCTTGCTGGCCGAGGGCTCTCGGGACACCTTTGTTTGTTTGTTTGTTTGTTTGTTTCTTTCTTTCTTTCTTTTTGCCCAATTTCTTCGTAACTGCTGATTTTCATAATGCGATTTTTGATTCTTGTAAGAGAAGAACTAATTTCTGAGGGAGAAGCTACTGACTGGAACTGCAGAAATTACACAGTTCTGGCCGATTGGCCTAGATAAATTTTGTGTGGTTAATCCAGGAAAGTAATCTAGCTGGGCTGTATAGGGGTGAGGAAAATTGCGTGGCTGCTGGAGGAGTGTTCTGGGGGAAAGGAGGGCATTAGATTTCGACTTTGGAGGAAGTGGAGAGAAAATTGGGAGCATTGGACTTGGGGTCGCGTAGGACTTAAGGGAGTTCCCCGCGAAGGCTGGGGTGAAGAGGTTGCTACCTTTAGTAGGACTGTGGCTCACACCAAATGCAAAGAGGCCTGCACATGAGCTTATCCTGAGTGTGAAGAGGTCACATTGTGCCTGAAGTCATCCTGCATGAGATGAGGTTTCACTGGGGTGAACGTGAGCTTTCTGGATGTTGTCATTCATGCAATCGGAGAAAACTTGTGCTTGTAAAATGGCTTACAGCTGTAGTCAGGGTACAGAATAAGAAGACAAATAGGATCTAAGTGCTGCATATTCTCTGCTATAGATAATTTCTTCCCTTGAACCAACATTGTTTTGAGGGGTTGTTTAATCTTATGCTCATCTTTAAACAACAGAACTTGAATATTTAAAAGCGTTGAACATTCACAACTTCAGAGGAAGCAGGTAAGAGTAGGAGATGCTTAATGCCATGAGGAGAATATGGCTGAAGGTATTTCCTTGGCTCTTAAATCGTTAATCTTCCCCCTTTCCAGGTTGGTATATTTGTGTTGCAGTTACACTTTTGTAAAAGTGAGAGGATACAGCTTTCAGCATCTTGTCTTTATCTGTTGAATTAAGCAAACATTCAGTCATGAGACACCAGATTTAATATACTGCATAATAATATTAAAGAGTGGTTAATAACCTAAGCTTCTGTAGGCAGCTTTAAAAATCTTAGGTGTGGTCCAATAACCTCCAAAGAAATGTTTAGAACTCTGTATATGTGAATGTTTTCAAGGAGAAAGGATGGATATATTGTGATACATAACTGGTGAGAGAGTAGGTTGCTCTCCTTCCTTGCTTAGGAAAAAAGGCTCCACGTAGTCAGAAAGAGCAGGGTTTTGAAAGCTGTTGTGCTGTTCAAATAAATACTTTTCTTGCTTCCACTGCACATTCCACTTAAAGTATTGTTGCAAGAGGTCAAAAGTTTCTTTCTTTGAGGTACACGGTTTTGGGTCAAAGTCTAGAGTCTTATCTACAGTTGAGACTGCTGCACCCTCAAAAGCTGCTCACAAAAATGAATTGTCAAATTAGAATACGTTAGAGGAGTTTTTAATGTATCACTGTATTAATACAGCAAATCCAGGAGGCTGATGATAGCCAAGCAGAGATACTGATCAAATTTGGTTTTGGTGGCTACTTTCTTTTTGTGGATTGTATCGGCTTACAATGGCTCATGGGAGGAGTTTTTAATGTATCACTGTATTAATACAGCAAATCCAGGAGGCTGATGATAGCCAAGCAGAGATACTGATCAAATTTGGTTTTGGTGGCTACTTTCTTTTTGTGGATTGTATCGCTTACATTGGCTCATGTAAAAAAGGGGAAAAAAAAAAAAGTGAAAAGCATTCATTTAATTTTCAAAAGTTTTAAATAAGACTTGCACTTCATAGTAATACTTTCAAATTGATAACATTTAACATTGAGACTGATCTTACGATCAGAGGAAGAGGCTAGAAACTGGACGCCTGGCTCCTTCCTCCATCTTTTGCAAAGTTTTCCTCCTGGACAAGAAATAAAACTCACTGAATGTCTTCAGTTTATTTGTCTGCATGCTGAAAGTTAGTCTTAATGTAAAGAAACCCTTTTTAAGACTCTCAGATGGGAGATACTATAGAAGTATTATTGTTATTCTTGATTCCAGTCTAGAAATTGAACTATCCTATTTGTATCAGGTGAGGACGTCACCACCCTCATGCCACATATTAGTATTTTTGGACTAATTTGTGAGTGTTGGAAAAATTCCAGGAGCGAAGGACTGGGGCTGGCATTGTTTGCATTTTGTATAACATCATGCTGTTTGTTTTTAAAGAAACCCAAGGTCCTTCAAGTAGTAAGATGTTTGAGCAAATTTGTAAGTGTTCTCACTTTTGCTTACTTGCAACTAGACTGTAGCAGGTTTTTGCCAAAGGGCTACACTGTTGTTTGGCCTGCCTCCAGGTTCAGAAAACTCTTGGCCTTTGTTGTATGGCAAATAGTGGCACCTTTAGTGGAGCAATGCAACTAGTAGTACAGTGAAATACTATGTATGCTTCACATGAAACTATAGTAGATACCTTATTATGTTGATCATGACTTCACAGCCATCTGATCTTAATTATGGATGTGTCACAATGAATGAGGATGAAAACAAATACAGATTAAGGGTTGGTCTGAGCTGGATAAGTACAACTGCATGGTGACTGGATATTCTCTCGCTTTAGTGTATCCTGGTTTGCTCAAGGCCATATTCTATTAAAAGCTCTCTCATCTTCCACCCATTCCCCTCCCAACCTCCCATCAAAGCAGCTCAAAATAGATACATAAATATTTCAGTGATAAAACACTGACTATTTTCTGCCTGTCCTAGCCGCTTAAGTGGAACAGCGCAATGTGCTTGTAGGCAGTCTGGTCTTTCAGCTTTCTTTTAACTGGCGAGAAGTAGGAAAGGAAGTACAGGAACTAGCACCGGTGCCTATATCCTGTGATTCGTTCTACACATCCACTGTGGAATTTGTAGAGCCCTAACAAGCTTCTAGTGGCCATGTCAGCTGCTTTAGCCGTTGCAGGTATATCATTGCAATGCAGCATTATACCAGCTTGTCCTTTGTCACGTATTGCAAGCCCCCGGAGAGGGAGTGGGTCTTGGATTGAAATCTGGTGCTTTTCTAATAGAAATCAAATGTCTCCTGTGTGGAAGGTTGCCTGTGAAGGAAGCAGAGCAAACAGCAACGTTAGAATTCTTCAAAGTTGACTTTTCTTCTTATTCCAGAAGAAGAAAAATAGATAGAGTTGCAGGGCAAAGGAGATTTCAGTCTAAAGGAAGGATTATCATCCTGAACACAGAAGACTGAGTTGCATTCTGCGTTTCTTCTTTGCCATGTGCACTTCCTTTGGATCACACTTACCCTCTAAGAAGAGTTCACTGAACCCCAGCTGTTTTTTTTTTTTTTTTTATGTTGAGTTCTACTAGCAAATTGGAAATGCAAGAATTGTAGAAGTGGCAAATTGTTACTTACTGGAACCCCATTCACTATGTTCACAAAGAGTGCCAATTCCTTTTTGGTGAGGCTGGGATAAGATGTACTGCACTAACATGTTCTGTTCAAGATATTTACTAACTACACAGCAAATATAACCAGCAGCATGGTCCACTAAATAGCATGCCTCTATCCCTTGCAAATCAAACTAAGAAAGGGCCAGATCCTCATAGAACAGGAACATGCCAGTAGTGAGTATCACCATGACTTAACTGTTAGATGCCCAGACCCCAGAGTTTACAACCCATCAAGTTACTGTGTTGCCAATGTGATGGCTGGTATCTAGACCTGACACTTTTGTGTCTTTATTTCCACGAGCCTTCTATTGCGGCGTGGTGAACCGTATCGGCACTGGTCTTGATTAACAAAACCCTACAATAAAATATTTTGGGGTTGCTTTTTCATCTGGAATATTTCTGTGATCAGATTTACTGTGTGCCCACATAGACAACACAGAAAATCGTGTGGGAGTAGGAATGAAAGCCTGTGAAACAAGGCTAATTTAATAGTTGCTCCCGTGAGACATGGAAGTACAGCCTGGGCAGGAAGCCACTAACCTTTGCAACAGGTAGTATTACAGACAAGGATGGGTCTGAAATTACTTCTTTTCCCGGACAAGAGTGCCTGCCACATTAGGCCTTTAGTACCACTCAGATTCAAAGGCCAATTATTTTCTGGGGATATAGGTGACTAAATCAGCTTCTGTGAGTAACAGATGTTGACATTTGTTTATGGTAAAAATGTCATGTGCCCTTCAGACATGGAGAAGTGTGCCAGTTTCTGCTACCATACAGGTTGCGGTGATGGTGGTGTAAAGGACTTAAAACTACATTTTCCACTTTGTAGGAGTACACTTCAAAAACTTGGCTATAACCTCTTTATCAAATCTGCAGAGGTTTGAACCATGCTGAGCAATGGGGTACGGCATAGGCATCTGGCTTTGTTGATACCTACCCTCACCCTGCAGTATAAAAGTGGACAGCGGCGGCAGCAGCATAGCCTATTTGAAGTGACATTTGCCAAGGCTGCTGTGTTTTACTGAACTCAGTGCTATGGAGGTGGAATTGTCTCACTCTGATCCCCTCCAGGTACTCAGGTGCAGAAGCGATCAGTTTATTG